GTTGCAGTTGTTTTTCCTCCAGTCTTAACTATTTGTTGGAGTCTGTACCTGTCTTGTTCCAAGTAAAGCTGCCATTTGCAATTGACTGATGGTGATTTTGTCAATTCCAGTAGTGTATAAGTGATGCTGCACATGTTTTGCGATTTCACCCAAGGCACCTACTGTATCATTGTTGCCATTGTATTTCCTTTTTTTAAAACTTCCTACTTCTGTTTTCAGGTCTTTGTATTTTTTCCAGTTCTTTTTCTTTTATTTTGCTTTCTCCAGGTTCGCTACCTTTTTTGTCTTTCCTATTGACCATGGTTAAGTCTGGGGTGTTATGAATTATTATTATTAAAAATGTATTATACTATTTAAAAAAGTATTTTAGGATGAAAAATGTTTGGCGGTAAATTTGCTTATGTCTCCATTCAAGTGGAATTGGAGCAAAAGGGAATAGAAAATACACTGGGTTTCCTTTGGGTATTAAGGGTTATTTTAAGGATCTTTATGCTCTGAGAATGAAGACATTGCTGTTTACTTCCCCTTAGGAACTTCTGAACTTTAATAAACAAAAACAGCAGCTAGCATTTTTTCTTGGTGTCACTAGCTTCAACACAATAAGAACTGACAGCATCTTTGCCCAGGAGATGATTGGGCTTTTGATAGATGAGTAAAAGTGACACACTTCTTGGATTATTAATGCTATTCAAAGATATGTGTAAAGAAATCAAACCCAAAAATAAACATAGGTAATGCCTGGCACACTGAAGGGAAGAAATAGAGTAGTTTCACTTTTTGATGGTAGTGGTGGCTCTTTCAACATGCTGTCAAGGCAACTGTGTGCTGTAGTGTTTTGTACTATGAGGCTGTTGCCGAAATCTGAATTCTAATTTCAGCCCATCTGAAAAGTATCCAGTTATGGGAAACTGGTTTACTAATATAGTTGTCTGTGAATGATGCCACTATGATCAACATTCTATAAAAAAGGCTTTCATATCCTTCGATTTTGTTTATGTTCCTACTTCATATGAGGAGTGCAGGGCTTATTTATAAAAAGTTCTGTGGAATGAACAAGTTTCCTGTTAATATTTTTCCCCAAAATATTGGGGAAATATTCTTACCCTGGTCAGCTGTTCTTTTCGTGTTCAGTTCTGTCATTTCATTGATTTTGAGTTATTTTACTTTTATTGTACATAAAGTAGAAAAGCACTACGTCTTTTCAAACTATCACTATTTTGCATTATTAGGATTTTGCAAGTACAATCTTTGAAAAAACACAATTGTGCTTCTTCTCCTTCACTGTTTCGTATGGATCTGTTTGAGAACTTGTGCAGTGTGACCACTAAAATAATGTCCTCAAAAAGTTAGCTTAAAAAAAAAAGAAATTACTACATGCTATTTAGGGAACTTCTGTTGGTTTGATACCATTTTGTGTTTTTAAAAAAATTCTCAGCTGCTATTTATTGCATTGTAGGTTATATACTTCAATGATTATATACACATGTAAGGGTTTTTACACAAACACACACACACACAAACAGTGCTACCCAGAATTGTTTCAAGAAATGTAATGGTCATATGCATCCAAATGAAAAATAAATACTGATGAAAATTTACAATATTCAAAAATACATTGGCTGACAAATTGCAGTTGGCTAAGAGCTGTAGCCTAAAGCAATACTTGCTGTTCTAAATAGCTGTGATTTTATTTTTTAAAATGAAGTATAACAAGTGAAGAATTATGTTGTAACTCTCGTACACTTTGATAATTGCCATCAATGTTTCTGCAGAAAAGAGAATCAGACAGTGTGAAAATAATGAAGGAAAAAAGCCTTAAATTTTATTTTTCTTAATGATAGAAAACCCTGCTGGGCAAAGGAAGTAGACAGATCGTAAGTCTTAAATCTATACTTCTTTGCTGTCTTGTTTTCATTACAAGTATCCCATTTTTTTAATGCTATTTATTCCAATGAACATTGTGAATACAATGTGAAGTCTGTACTACATCCTGTTGCTTATTCTAGAGACCTCTGCTATCATAATATAAATACTAATACTATTTTTTCCTTCATAAACTGATAGGACACATGTTGGGCTTTCACATCCTATGTCTCAGCTTCTTCTTTTTCCTTCCCCCAACTTGTGTTGGTAAACAATGATATAGGTGCAAATACTTCCCAGTTCCCCGTAGATATTGTTTGCACAGCCCTGAACTCTTAAAATGTCAATTTGTTATAAAGACATACATGTTCTCATTGCATTTTTGTTAGCATGTATGTTGGTAAAAAAAATCATAAAGCAGTTACCTCCATACTAAATAAACTGTAGAATAAAAAAGATCGGGAAGAAATGCTTTTAAAACACTTAGGAGAGTTTGTGTACAGACAACCAAAGTACGGGAGAACTTGAATATACATGAATGTGAATGTGACTAGTGATATCAGTAGGACACTAGCTGAGATGGGACAATGCTATGGAAATTATTAAACATACAACAGGTGAACTTCTCTTATTCAGATTACAAGAGTATTCCTTTTCTGAGCAAAAACAAATGCTAGCCAGACTTTATTCATTCAACCTAAAGGTAAAAGTAAAAGGTAAAGGTTCCCTTCACACATATGTGCTAGTCATTCCCAACTCTAGGGGGTGATGATCGTCTCCGTTTCAGAACTGAAGAGCCAGCGCTGTCCGAAGATGTCTCCGTGGTCATGTGGCCGGCACGACTAAACACCGAAGGCACATGGAATGCTGTTACTTTCCCACCAAAGGTGTTTCCTATTTTTCTACTTGCATTTTTACGTGCTTTCAAACTGCTAGGTTGGCAGAAGCGGGGATAAGTAACGGGAGCTCACTCTGTTACGTGGTGCTAGGAATTCAAACCGTAAACAGCCAACCTTTCTGGTCAACAAGCTCACGTCTTAGCCACTGAGCCACCGTGTCCCATTCAACCTAGTCCCATTTAACCTAGTCATTCAACATAGTGTTTAGTAAATGCAAACCATCAATATTTATTTTCTCTTAGTAAGTTTTATTCTATGATGAAATTATTTCTAATCCCTGATGGAGATATGGTGTAACAGATAGTTCTCAGTATCCAAATATCTCTAAGAAGAAGCCTCCTTAGTTAATGCATATAGTCAGCTCAGAGAAAAAGGACATTATGGGTTTGTGAAAGGAAAAAAAGGCCTAGAAATCACCATCCAACCTAATTGTGTGTATATAGCTATGTCTAATATACGTAGTCTAGGAGGATAAACAGCTAAAGTACAGAGGAANGAGTCCTTCGGGATTGGGCGGCCTATAAATAAAATTAAACTTACAAACTTTTTCAGGTTCATTGGTTGCCCATATTAACTAGCAGTGTCTTTCCTACTATTTCAAATAGACGTTTCTTTCAGTACTCTATGATGCTTCTGTTACTGAATTGGGATGATTGGTATGCAACAAAAGTTTTCACTGAGGCAAGAATGGAAAAAGAAGAGAAATGTGTGGTCTCCTGTCTATCTATAATAGGGCAGGGCTGAGCAACTGTTTCTCACTCTTTCTCAGCTGTAACATCTTAATACTCAAAAAAGCAGTCTTTTAAGGTCATGTACTGTTACTGTCCATGGGTTTAGTAGATTGCAACTTCTTTTAAGGCCAGCTAATGGACTAACCGCTTTGGGTACTTTGTGCTAATGCTTTGCCCCACTTTGGAATCTTCTCTGCACCTGATAACACTCACAATGTCAATTATTTTAGAAAATGATTTGTTTTCTTATTCTATTCTGGGTATTAAAATAACAGAAAAGTTTATCTTTTTCCTTTGAATTTCTGTGTCTACACATACTTTATAGGCAATCTGTTTTCCAATTAGCAGGAGCTTCTGTCTCATTCTACTTTTGGCTCCAAGATTCAAGCTATCCTGAAGAGATTAGCGTCCTGTTGAATTTGTAGCTTCAATAGATGGTTTAAAACTTAGTTGTCTCCTACCACTATCATTCAGCTGCCTAGAAACATATAGTGTTGGTCACAATTATTTGGGAAAGCCTGGTTTTAAATTACTTATGAACTTAAATTTCCACCTTTACTAAAAAAAAATTGGGGGGGGGGCATGAGGTAGTTATAATTAATGCAACAGAGCAGTGGTTTCCAAACTTGGCAGAGCTAGCTGGAGAATTCTGGGAGTTGAAGTCCACAAGTCTTAAAGTTGCCAAGTTTGGGAACCACTTCAACAGAGAAATGACAGCAAAGGATGTCAATGTTTTTGTTTCACTGACCTGAGACTGACCATTCTCCATGTAGTTTTCAATCATAACAACTTCTTAATATTTTTCTTCACAAATCACCTGATTGCACACCGACACTTACTGTATGCTGAAATATAGACAAAGGAGAAGTTCAGTTGCAATTTATTTTATAATAGGATATTTTTCCAGTCAGAAATAGGTCTTTGTATTCTATCTTTGGTGGGTCGGGGAGAGAGAAGAGATTATCACTGATTGTTCAGGATGTTGTAGTACATTCTCTGCATTTTGAGATTGGCAGATGGGAGTATAATTATGTCTGGTTTGAAGCTGTTATATGTGGGATCGGGGTGAAATGTTGCTGAAGAACCCTTAGAAGAAATTAATTTATTATGAGAAAATGCGTGCTATGGTAGATAGATTCCAAATTTTTATCCTTTTTCCAAGGAGTAGTAGCTGATGCACTTTCCTCACCAGACCTCTGTAAAATATTTCTGTTAGATCTGTTTATAAATTATTGACAGGGAAACATGCTGGATTCTGCAACTCCTGAAGATAAAGGTGTCTCTTCCTGGGATTCTACTGTGATAGAGCACATGCTTTGCAACATTTTTCCTTCAAATCTAAAGCATTTCATAGCCCTAAAATTATAGCTTTGTTTTTTAAATTAAACTTTAAAAACGTATAGATTATTTATAGTTTTTATATTCATGACTTCAACATATTAATCACAATACTTCCATCCTGATTTAGCCAACATTCTTAAACAAATGTATATATTTGTCATTTTAGTAATTGCTGATGGATCATTAGAGAAAACCAGTGATGACATTGGGAGTGAAGAGGATTTATATGAAGAATTCCGAAGTTCAAGTCATCGTTATGGCCACCCAGGTGGTGGAGGAGAACAACTTGCTATTAATGAGGTACTGCAGCTTTTAGTAATTAAGGCAAATAAAACACATTTAATGTTAAGTGCATTTTTCTAAAAACACACTTATCTCTTCTCATGGCAGGACTTAAAGTTGCAGCTTAAAAGTATAGACCAATATCCTTATGAAATTGAAAGCAGATTTAAACATCCATATCATTAACACTTCAAAAAGAAAATACTTAGTAACAATGCTTAAAACACTTCCCGGGAGAGAAGCGTTCCACATTGCTAAAGCAATAAATGTCTAAACCTGCAAGTGGGCACATGTCAACAATTATAAAGAAGTCCTTTAAATAATGAAGTATCATCCATTTAGATCAACAAGTTAAGTTCAAAGGAGTCAAGGGCCACATTTAGCTTTCTTATATTCTGAAGAACTGCAGGAACGTATCTCATGATTGGTGGAAGTAACATGAACAATTTTTGATTTGATCTGTTTTCAACTTTTCGGAGGGTTGGAGTGAAAGACCCTTAGGAGACAAATTGCTGCCATGTAAAGTAGGTAACAGATAACTTTTCAAAAAAGGACATTTTGTGTTCTATCTGACTCATCTTTCTGCCAGGAGTTTGAAAAGAAAGTCTCAGCTTATGACCTTATTTCTGGATTGGTGAGTGGAGGAAAGTCCGTTTTTAAGATAATATGAATCAATTGGTAAACTTAGCATTTTTCTGATCTAAAATGATTGTTTCATGATCATGATCATCATCTCCAATTAATGGCCTGTTTTGAATTAACTTACTAGTCTATAGTGAGTTTGATGCAATCCAGTAGATGTGTGGTAGAGAGTTCTAAACACTTTGATATTTTCTGATGCAAGATTTATTTCAAAAAAGGTGCTAAGGTGCTTAGCTATCCCTTAGAATGAATCTAAGTTGTACATTCAGAAAATGACCGGGGAATCTTATACACAGCTGATGCATTAAGTCATTCTTGCTTCATATAAAAGAAAAATAGAAATTCTTGTAATATTACCTAGAGATTTTATGAGTGCAAGCTATATTTCTCTGATTTTCTGAGCATTTGTAAATATGAGATTTATGAGTCCTGCAAGTTGTGAAAAATTTTTTGAACAAGCCATAGTGACCTAGTTTACATTTAGTCCTAACATGATCCATGGTTTATAAAACACAGTGGCTGAATGCATATATTGTGCTAAAGCCAAAAACCCAGAGGCCTTGGCTTGGTTTCCAATAGTGGCTAAAACATGCCATCTAATTCTATTTGATAGAATTCATCGAAGAAAGAATTCTGACATTGTCCTAGCAGTGAGGGATGTGTCAGTAAGGAAGGTAAGGTGCAATTCTGCACCTGGTGTTCATGAAAATGCCTTTTTTTGCCTCCCAGGTCACTTTGAATAGGTGGGGCCAGCATACCTTCTGGCCTATCTTTTTGAAATCAAATTTTTGCATTGCTAGTTCTTGTGAGGCAATTGTATCAGGCATACGGTGGATGTTTTTTCATGAACATTTTGAAATATTGACAGCCTTCAGTAGTTCTGGGAAATTGATTTATAGCCCGTAGCCTATCATTTTGTCTTTCTGAGCATCTTGGAAATATATTTTTTTTTTAAAAAATAGAGGCTGCCCAGTTGACTCAGTAAAACAAGTGACACAATGGGAAATTATTTCTTTCTTCCATTCATTCAAAAACCTTTGGTATACAAAGACAGTGCTTGCCTTCTGCATAAACTTACCAAGGCAGCTGTACTGTGAAAACCTAGTCTGTGCTGAGCAGTTGGTGTATTGAAAGTATGCTGTGAAACTATATATAATCACTTAGACAAATGCAGTTATTTTAAGATCAAAAATTAGTTTGTAACAAAGGATTTTCTACAAATAAAACCTTAACTGCTGCTCTACTTCTAATGAAGGGTGTTTATTACTTTGAAGAACTAGCAGGATCAATGTGTTTTGCTTTTTAATAATCATGTAGATTGTCCAGTGATGAGGTTAGTTTCTACAAACACATCTCCCAGGTTGACAATAAGCATGTTGACTTCACAGAAGAATCTCATTTGCTGTCTGGTTACGTATATATCTCATAATATATCAATTTTTTAAAAACTTACAGAGTTGCATAGGTAAAATAATTTTTAGTACAAGATTATACAAATCAAGATAAAGTAAAATAGGACGTATGTTCTAGAGAAAACTTAACCTACTAAATTGTTAAAGAAATATAGACACACACAGGCAAACAAACAGACAGCTTTGAGTCTAGTTGGGTTTGTTTTTGTTTTGGCTTTTTGCTCATGACAGCTAAGAGAGTTTGGCCCAAGGTCATCCATCTAATTTTGTGCCTAAGGCGGGACTAGATCTCAGTCTTCTGGTTTCTAGCCTGATGCTTTAACCACTACACCATATTGGTTCTCCAAATAAATAATATCAAAATATTAAGCTAAGCTACTAAAATAATATTTGCGTTATTATAGATAATACCATATTTTTGGAGTAGAAGATGCACCGGAGTATAAGACACAGCAAGGTTTTAAAGAAGCAAATTATTAAAAAAGTAGGTAGGTAGATAGAGGGATAGAGCAGGAGAGAAAGAGAGAGAAATACAGTAGGTAGGTANAGGAAAGCTAAGGCTCACAATGAAGAAAGGCTTGCCACAAAATAAAAAAATAAAAAACTTCTTCCAACATGTTAAAAACAAGAAAAGGGTTAAGGAAACAATTGGTCCATTGCTAGGGGAAAGTGGCACGAAGGTGACAAGCAACAGGAAGAAAGCAGAACTATTTAACTCATTTTTTGCATCTGTCTTTACACAAAGGGTTAAAACAATCCAACCTATCAAAAACAGCACCACAAAAATCAGATTAGAAAGACAAATTGAAATAGGGAAGAAAATGATAAGTGAGCACCTGTCTATCCTAGACGAGTTCAAATCACCAGGACCAGACGGATTACACCCCAGGGTTCTGAAGGAACTGGCAGATTCAAAATGTTCATGAATCTTACTATTATTAAGACTTTGTTGAAGCTTTGCTGAAGCCAGTGTACACTGTGTCATGAACTAGTCACCATATAAAAAAGAAGATTGTGTTAATTTGGTTTGATTTGTTATTGATAAACCATGCTAGTTCCTATTAAGCAGGGCATTGGTTTCTAAATAAGCACATAATTATTACATTTTGTTCCACTGTTTTAGTCGTACTGATGACAAGTTGACTTGTCTGAAGTTACCCAGATTTTTTTCCCTTTGAAGATAGAAACTGTATTTAGTCTTTTCCATTCTTCTGGGACTATGCTCATCCACAATGATTTCTCAGATATTTTTATTTTATTTTATTATTAAATTTGTTTGCTGTCCATTTTGCTGCAAGGTGATTCTGAGCAACTTATAACATTATATAGAAAGGATCATTAAAGTAACAACCACAAATTTCTCCAAAATCCATGGATGTAAATTGTAAGTAGCCTGGTTGTTACCACTTAAACACATTACTTATCTTGGATTGCCACTTATATATGTCAGTGTTTCTGCTTAAGTCCATTTGATTGAAGTCACTCTTTTGGGAAATTGTATCTGCAGTCTGAAAGTACTCCTTTACCTCCAGCTGTTTCTGGACTCCTAAGGACATAAATGGCAAGAAATACATTTGCACAAATATTTCTAGTACAGGTACTGCAACCATTCCAAAAGCCTTAAACCTGTTAACAATTAAAGATGCTTCAGTTACATTCCAAATAGTGTACTACAGTGAGTTCTCTGTGTGGTCACCTTTAAGACATAACCAAAATCTTCAGCTGATACAAGAAGTACCAGTTACGTTTCTGATTATCCCAAATACTGGGGTGTATGATGGCCATCTCAAAACCTTGCACTGATTGCCATTTATTCCCTGGACACAACTGTAGCATTACAGTTCTAAATTGTTTAATATGTGATTATCAGGGGAATTGCCTGTTTTGATGTAAAGCTATCTTAGCATTAAGATAAACAGGATAGGCTGTCTTAAAAATATTGTCATTTTCAGAAACCTATTATTTTTTAAGCATGGGAGTGGGTGTTGATTCAAAGCTAGGTAAAGAACCTTTTGGATTTCTGCTTAGGAGAAAATTTAAACATTTTGCCATTACTTTCTACTTTAATTTTAATAGTGGCTTTAGCAACTTTAATGACATAATTGTTTTATGCTTTTTAAAAAATTGGATCCATCTTAAATGTCTTTGACAGGAAAGTGGGATATAAATTGTATAAAAATGTGATTGGAATGCAATGGCTTTTTTCCTGCCTCCATTTTAGAGCATAAAATGTCTTTGTCTCTTGTCCTTCCTTCCTTCCTTCCTTCCTTCCTTCCTTCCTTCCTTCCTTCCTTCCTNAAAGGCCTAGAAATCACCATCCAACCTAATTGTGTGTATATAGCTATGTCTAATATACGTAGTCTAGGAGGATAAACAGCTAAAGTACAGAGGAAGCTAAATCTGGTCCCTGCTACAAATGGCCTCCCCTTTTAGTTGCTATTTGCCTTTTAGGCTGATAATTCTGGACCTTTGATCTTTCTAATTTTACATGTTTAGACATGCATAACGAAGCAATTGATCAGGTACCTTGACATTTATAAGAGTGACCCTGGAGAATTTATATGAGACTCGGATCATTATTACCTTTTTCTGGTTTCTGTGTTGAGGGCTTTTCTTCCATGTATCTCTAGGAAGATCAAGTCACAGAAACTCCCACAGAAACTAATGTATTCCTGATGAAACTGTGAAATTACACAGATTTCTTCTCCAACATCAACTATGTTGACTTACTCATACAGTGTAAAACAGAAATAGAATGAATAATGCCTGTATTTAGGTCCAGTAGATCCTTGGGAGCAATCTGTTATGATTATCATCAGAACAGTTTTATCATGATAATTAAACCTGAACTTTCTTTGCATTACAGTAGCAACTGGGAAGAAACCGAGAAAAGAAAGCAATTCAATAGTGTTCCATTTTCAGTTAATATGCTGAAAAATAGTCTCCCTGTTCTTAGAATCATAG